TATTGCTTCCACTAGCAGAATACCAGACACTCACGATAGGATACAGACTCTAGAACACAAGGTCGACACCTTACTGAGTCAGTTAGCAGCACTGACCACACACACACGACCAAGACGTTCTAGAAGCTCGTCTCGTCGACGTCTTTCTCGGTCACCCAGCACATCACGACATCACGATACTATTTGCTGGTACCACCGTAGTTACGGAAGTAATGCACGACGGTGTCGTTCACCTTGCAACTTTCAGGCTAAACCAAAAGATATATCATCATGTATGAAAACTTCTACTGTTGGCAATCTACGATCTAGCAGTCGTTTGTTTTATGTAACAGATAGAAATACCGGTACTACGTTCTTAGTCGACACAGGAGCAGAAGTTAGTGTTCTCCCTCCGTCTACGCAGGAACTTCAACATCTTGACCCTGCAGTTACGCTCCAAGCTGTTAATAAGTCTAATATTGTTACACATGGTAGTAAACGAATGACTTTAGATTTTGGTCTGCAGAATATCTACACTTGGGCTTTCATCGTTGCAGACGTTCCATCCCCAATCCTTGGTATAGATTTTCTACAGCGACACAAACTGCTAGTTGATCAGGTAAGCCCTAAGCTTACAGACTCGCTCAATAAAAAGTAGATTGCTGGTACGATTAGCTGTGCATCGTCGTTGAACTTGATGGTCACACGCGCACCAGCATCTCCATATACTGACTTAGTAAATCAGTTCCCTGACCTTCTACAACCATCTCTCCGAGCAGCAGAACTAAAGCATCAAGTGGTTCATCACATTAAAACCACAGGACCACCAGTTTTCGCACGTCCTCGACGCCTTGACCCACATCGACATAAAATCGCAAAAACAGAGTTCGATAAAATGTTAGAGCTCGGCATTATCCGACCATCCAACAGCTCTTGGTCTTCACCGCTGCACATGGTAGCCAAAAAGTCTTCTGGTGAGATACGGCCATGTGGGGATTACCGAGCTTTAAACAAGCAAACAGTACCTGATCGATACCCCATACCACACATTCGCGACTTCGCCAGAAACTTGCCAGGGGTTAAAATTTTCTCCAAAATCGACCTCGTCAGAGCGTACCATCATATTCCCATCCACCCGGATGACGTTCCAAAAACCGCTATCACCACGCCATTCGGCTTATACGAATTCGTACGCATGCCCTTCGGGCTGATGAACGCCGCTCAAACATTTCAACGTCTCATCGACCTTTTGGCATGACAAAAGTTATCGGCGACACCTCTACGGGTAAATATCGACCCTTCGTACCATAGCTATGAGACATACAGTATTCGAGAAGTTACATAACTTGTCGCATCCTGGTGTGAGCGCTACTGTAAAACTACTAAGAGAAAGATTTGCATGGCCGAGCATTAACAGCGATGTTAAGAAGTGGACACAAAATTGGCCAGTAGCAGTTCCATTAATCGACGTCTCAGCTGAAACGGTAGCTAAAGCATTAGTCGAAAACTGGATAGCCAACTTTGGTGTCCCATCAATTATCACTACAGACAGAGGTGCTCAGTTTAAAAGCCGACTTTTTGACCAGCTAACTGAATTACTAGGCATTAAACGAATATGAACGACAGCGTATCATCCTAGTTCCAACGGTAGGGTCGAACGATTTTATCGACAACTCAAAGCTGCGCTCGCTGCTTCTTTGACTCAAAACGACTGGTCAACCAAACTTCCACTGGTACTTCTTGGTATACGAGCTACTATAAAGGAAGATATCGGCTGCTGTGTTTCTGAACTAGTCTATGGAACAACATTACGATTACCAGGAGAATTTTCACCCCGGGTAACCAAGTTCCACACGATATGACTGGTTACGTGCACCAGCTAAAACGACACATGAACGAGCTAGAGACATCACTTCCACGTCAGCAGAAACGAGCGTCATACACCCCGTCACAACTGACAGACTGCACCCACGTCTTTGTCAGGAGAGAAGGTGTACAACGATCACTTCAACCCGCTTATGATGGCCCGTTCAAAGTTCTAAACAGAAACGCAAAAGTCATCATGATAGAAAGATCGAATAAAACAAAGCCATCAGTATCGACAGAGTCAAACCAGCGTTCCTCGACGATTTCGAAGTCAACAATAAGAACCAGCTGAACGACGTGCCAACACCTACATCCACACAAGAGTCAACGTCGACAGAGAAGCCTTCGGAAACAACACGATCTGGTAGACGAGTCCATTGGCCTAAACGTTACGTGCAAGTCGTCGAAATATAACTTACTACGAATTTTCATTTTTATTATCTTTATTCGTAATTGTCATTTGACTACTAATTTAACTGATTAATATTTTCATACATAAATCACGTCACTATTATTTTAACATCGATATTTCCTATATTATTACATTTAATCACATCTCGTATATTATTCACGTATCGTCTTCGTCTACCGACTACAGATCCTCGGCCAATTTTATCGTTCCTTATATATTCTATTACGATTAGCAATCCAACTTTCCCTAGATTATCGCACTTATTATCGATTTTATTAACCGCTTTAAACTGCTCATTTTTCATCTCAATAAATCGCCTTCTGTGTACTATCGCTGACACGTATTACGCTGACGCATGTTATTTTCGAACACTTAAATGTAGTTTTTTATATTTTAGTGTTCTGGTGGGGGAATTATGTAGTACCCCTATACCAACTGTAAACATGCTTTTTAATCTAATTTGTATACTTGTATTATATATGTATACAGACCGATTTTATATGTACTTCGCAAATATTTGTCAGTTTACTACTGGATATTACCTTGACACAATTTCGAATTTGACTACTGCTATAATACACATTCGTACTCTTTGCAAGTGCCTTTTGATTTTAGTTGTGGGCGTTGAGTAGCCACAACGTCTGCGCACATTAATAAGAACGAAGAAATACTAGGATATATGTGTACGGCAGTTTAGTTAGACAACGCCCGCAACAGTTGTTTATTTCATTTACCTTGTAAATATACCTGTCACGAAGATTCGCCGACATACACAGCACCAGCATCACCACACTTAATCTGCTACAGGTCAATCATCTACATGGACTTGTGTGATTTGAAATGCACAGAGATTTCTGTTCTGTCACAAACATCTCTACAGAGATAACTGATAATGCATCTGCAATCAGATAAAGATTCACAATTATTTCTATCCCAGTGAAGTACCAAAATCTTCTTGCACTAATGATAATGAATGAAATGAAATAACGTCAACCTTTCTTTAATATCTATCCACTATAAAAATGTATGATTCGCTCTATTACTGACAAATGCATAAACTATAATGAACTGACACTAGTTACAGAACAACAAAAACCAAACGGCACTACTGAACAGTTCAGTGAATTATTACTTTGTATACACAAAGTCATGAACGATCAGCTGATTCAAGGACGAACTAATTGAGAACATTCTACCATTAATAGTCAGTCTCTCTATCATCTAAAATGGTGTTGTAGAGAGCGAATCAACGAAGTTTACCAGTCTTCAATAGTACGGAATATTTGTGCCGTAAATTTTTATTAGGCTACCACGAATAAACGCAACGCATGAGACAATGTCCACAGTCAGAGTGAATTGTACTGACAAAGTGAACCGTAGTACATCTCAGCAAACTATTCACACTATGAAGAAGTGTTTGAGTGTATTATTACTGACTGTTCTTATAAAATTGACATGAAGTCAGATGGAAAGAAGAATAGACTCAATGTCCATGATTTGTCTCCCCGACAGTGTTACATGGGAGTGTGAACTTTGTACTGTGGAAGAAGAAACTCGACTGTAAGAAAAAGCTGAGAATCCAAATGGATATTCTCAACAAGATGGGATCAGATCTCTTGTAGACTGACAACATAATTCCGGATTATTTCAATTAATACACTCAGCTATAATCAGTCCATGAGCACCGGTGCAGTACGTGTTTTGAACTCCAGTGTTATTGAATGGGAATAGATTTGTTGAGAGGCAGACTTTAACGTCTGCATTTTGTCTCAGTACTATCATTAACAATATGAACAATGGAAAGATATGACAATAATAAGACAGTGTGGAATACAATCAAATGCTGGTGCTGACGTAGTTCGTAAAGCTTCTTCTATCCCTCTAAAGCACTTTCCTAACCGCAGTATAAGGTGACGTGCAGTGAAGAAACTCTCAAGTGAACAGTAATACAGGGGAACTCAAGAATTTGAGTAAAACTTATTTACCGTTGCATAACACTTTGTTCCTAATGGTTCCTCATTTCATTTGAAGACGATGATGGATGCGTCTGTTGGTAAAGGTTGCAAACTATCGATATTTTCTGCATAGCGTTGTTGTGCTCAAACTCACTTGTAACCATTTTCTTGATGCAACAAGATTGAGAACGTTCTATCATCAATAGTGACGTGTTCAGGGAGAATTTCAACGCTTCAAACGACAAACTTCAACGTCTTTCTTGTGTTCGCTTATGAATTTCGATGTTCAGGAGATAGTTTCAAAGAGCGGGGATAATATCTTTCTGACTTGTAGTTTTCTGTCAACGTTGACCGAATCAAATGAGTAAAATTCGTGCAAATTCGAACACAAGATTGCCTTCTTATTCAAATGAGTCACCAAAAATCAAGTCAGAGATATAGGCTCGTTATCTGTGTGTGCAAAGAGATTTCTGGGAACGAGAAAGGCCCTCAACCAATACTGATAGAAGTATTTGTTAATTGTGGATCGATATTTGCTGTTTGGCATCAAAACTGCTCTGTCTGGTAAACAGTTAGCATCACAATCACCAAGTAAACACAGAGGATCCCAGTCAGAATTCACCCTGTGAAGTCCATTGAAAGAGCTTGACATATACAATCGTATGACGGATTGACCATTGGTAAAATGTGGGCAGTATTCAGTGTGAAAATCGATCTGTTGAGGGGTTCTATCAGCAGATACCGTTCGGTGATTGAAAGACAGGTGCAAGAAGATGAAATAAAGAGATGAGTCGGGCAATATTTTTATTTATTAATTAGCTGTGACATAAAAATCCAATTTGAGATTATAGAAATAGACATTAAATATTTAAAGTTAAATGGGAAATATTCTTATAAAGTTTTTGAGTAATCAAACAAAATGTTGAAGTTCTCATTCAGAATGATCAAAATCACTGAAAGAATCACATATTGAACGCGAAAATGAGCGAAAGAGATTTCTAAATTTCTGAAGAAAAAAAGATATAGATTAAGAAAAAGTCAGCAAAATATGAAAAATCAAAATGAAAAATCAAAATCAAACTAGCTATTAAGACATAAAAAAGAAAATGTATTAAATTACTGGGAAAAAAATATTCATGGAAAGAATCAAAAATATCCGCTAACAAGTATCAAAAGCAAAAAACACGAAAAAAAGTTTCCAAAAAAAACAATCAAGAAAGAAAAAGTTAAACAAAATAACACCAATAACCAACTACGATGTAGCGGAAATAGTCACCAGGGATAAAAGATAACATACTAATGATCTAATAAGCGCGAAGCATTATCAGATACCATGATGCTAAAGAATACTTTGATTCGCAAATTCCGCCTCACGTCACTAGTCTCCTCCACACACACAAGCACACACATACACACACGAGCACCTGACACTCGTCTCACACACATTGCCCAACTAATTATCACAGGTCAGATTTCACGAAAAGCACTCAGCATTTCCGCTCAATGATATCACTCATTTGTCCTCAGATTATAGGCGAAAGCGAAAAGCGGAAAAGATTTAGATTAGCTTACCAATGGCATAGCACTTGCTAGGATAAATGTTCTTCATTCCTAAAAATAAGAGAAAACAACAATCACCTGTTAACATATGTTATGCGCCAAAGAAGAAATTAAAAAATTAGAATGAGAGTACACACAACAGAAGATAATGAAGAAGATAGATATCAGATTGTTGAATTTACCATGGATCTCTTCTTCGTAGTCAAAGTTCACACCTAGAGAAAAAAAGCCACACAAGCGAAACGGTTAGAAAATATGCAGGACGTGACGTTTGAGTGGAGACGCACACGACAAGTAAGCTGTGATCACAACCATGTCTGACAGTATTCAGACTGAGCGATGCAACCCTGGTCCCTGTTCACACTGAGTGGTTGGTGCATTCGAATTCCAGTCTCCAACGTACTGGCTTACACAAATCGCCTGCATTCCAATCTACTGAGAGTTCAATTGTTCCGTTAACGGCTCAGAGAGTATCCCTTCCACGAAATGACTCGGACAAGCACAGTGTGGATCAGCTCAGAAACTGACGAAATCTTTGTGGAATCGCTATGCACACTACGAAATGTGTAGCCACACTTGATAGGGGAGATTGACACAGTGTGATGGTCACGAGGATATGAAGACCGTGATAACTACACAACAAAGACCCAGAGTGACTTTCATGTGAGAAGTGGCCGTGAATCTGGAGATGCTACCCGCGCCTCTCACTCAATGAGCGGGTGACGAAATCGACAAATGTGGAGTGGTGAGGAGTGAATATCCGACATCTGTGACAACGTTGTTCCGATGCAAATGAGCACGTGGAAGGAGACGCGTTGACATTGGTGTCGAGAATATGTGAGAGGCAGTGAGAGGCACTCAGTCTCTGCCAACAATTTCGTGTGCATTATTTCGACTGGCTGAAACTTCTTTTACACAATCCATTCGTGTAGCCCCATCGAATTGAGCCTGACTGCACGAATCTGAACACACTTCGGATGGAGAATGAAATGTGACACGAAGTGGTTCTGCATAGTAGAAATGTAATTTAAGCAGTGTCAATGAGTAATTGAAAGGTCTTACGCGTTGTTGTTTCTTCTTTGACTTCTTCTGTTGCTGGAGTTGTGGTGGCTGGCACATCTATCAGAAGAGAAGTGAGGCAGACGTCTCATCAGTTGTCACACCACTGACGCGATAAACTTCAAATATGCACTCCGCAGATCATCAAGATAATCTGACTGAACGTGAATTAGAGAGACAAGGGTGTTGTCTCATGTCAAGTCGAATATATATTCACGTACTCACAAAACTCACCTTGTGTTGTTTCTTCTTCAACAATATTTTTCATCACTGAAATGAAAGAGATTAGAAATACACAGTATCAAAAATAGCTCCGGAGTCGGAATATGACTTCCACAGTGACTGCTAGATTTGTCACAGTCTCTCGCAGCAATGTGGAACACACAAAACCGTCTATGCTTCCTGCTCGTGCCTCTGCAATACACATGAACTGTCTTCCTTTCACATGGACTGGATATCCGCCTGAATCCACAGCACACATACGCTCTCATTTTAAGTTCCATGTGAGCCTGTGTGGTATCCATGATGCTCACAAACATTTCGATTCGCAATTTCCGCCTCACGTCACTAGTCTCCTCCACACACACAAGCACACACATACACACACGAGCACCTGACACTCGTCTCACACACATTGCCCAACTAATTATCACAGGTCAGATTTCACGAAAAGCACTCAGCATTTCCGCTCAATGATATCACTCATTTGTCCTCAGACTATAGGTGAAAGTGAAAAGTGGAAGAGATTTCGTTTTTCTTACCTAGTTTATAGCACTTGCTGGGAAAGGTGTTCTTCACCCCTGAAAATAAGAGAAACCAATCGTCGCCTGTTAACATATGCTATTCACTCTATTCATTTGCATATTCACTGTAATGGTTTTTAAATTTTGACATGCAGAATTCACAACACAAGATCATGATGACGATAGATATCAGATTGTTGAATTTACCATAGAGCTTGTCTTCCTCGTCGACGTCCTCTAGTGGAGGAAAACAAGGAAACGTTCGAATCGGTTAGAAAATATGCAGGATGTGACGTTTGAGTGGAGACGCACACGACAAGTAAGCTGTGATCACAACCATGTCTGACAGTATTCAGACTGAGCGATGCAACCCTGGTCCCTGTTCACACTGAGTGGTTGGTGCATTCGAATTCCAGTCTCCAACGTACTGGCTTACACAAATCGCCTGCATTCCAATCTACTGAGAGTTCAATTGTTCCGTTAACGGCTCAGAGAGTATCCCTTCCACGAAATGACTCGGACAAGCACAGTGTGGATCAGCTCAGAAACTGACGAAATCTTTGTGGAATCGCTATGCACACTACGAAATGTGTAGCCACACTTGATAGGGGAGATTGACACAGTGTGATGGTCACGAGGATATGAAGACCGTGATAACTACACAACAAAGACCCAGAGTGACTTTCATGTGAGAAGTGGCCGTGAATCTGGAGATGCTACCCGCGCCTCTCACTCAATGAGCGGGTGACGAAATCGACAAATGTGGAGTGGTGAGGGGTGAATATCCGACATCTGTGACAACGTTGTTCCGATGCAAATGAGCACGTGGAAGGAGACGCGTTGACATTGGTGTCGAGAATATGTGAGAGGCAGTGAGAGGCACTCAGTCTCTGCCAACAATTTCGTGTGCATTATTTCGACTGGCTGAAACTTCTTTTACACAATCCATTCGTGTAGCCCCATCGAATTGAGCCTGACTGCACGAATCTGAACACACTTCGGATGGAGAATGAAATGTGACACGAAGTGGTTCTGCATAGTAGAAATGTAATTTAAGCAGTGTCAATGAGTAATTGAAAGGTCTTACGCGTTGTTGTTTCTTCTTTGACTTCTTCTGTTGCTGGAGTTGTGGTGGCTGGCACATCTATCAGAAGAGAAGTGAGGCAGACGTCTCATCAGTTGTCACACCACTGACGCGATAAACTTCAAATATGCACTCCGCAGATCATCAAGATAATCTGACTGAACGTGAATTAGAGAGACAAGGGTGTTGTCTCATGTCAAGTCGAATATATATTCACGTACTCACAAAACTCACCTTGTGTTGTTTCTTCTTCAACAATATTTTTCATCACTGAAATGAAAGAGATTAGAAATACACAGTATCAAAAATAGCTCCGGAGTCGGAATATGACTTCCACAGTGACTGCTAGATTTGTCACAGTCTCTCGCAGCAATGTGGAACACACAAAACCGTCTATGCTTCCTGCTCGTGCCTCTGCAATACACATGAACTGTCTTCCTTTCACATGGACTGGATATCCGCCTGAATCCACAGCACACATACGCTCTCATTTTAAGTTCCATGTGAGCCTGTGTGGTATCCATGATGCTCACAAACATTTCGATTCGCAATTTCCGCCTCACGTCACTAGTCTCCTCCACACACACAAGCACACACATACACACACGAGCACCTGACACTCGTCTCACACACATTGCCCAACTAATTATCACAGGTCAGATTTCACGAAAAGCACTCAGCATTTCCGCTCAATGATATCACTCATTTGTCCTCAGACTATAGGTGAAAGTGAAAAGTGGAAGAGATTTCGTTTTTCTTACCTAGTTTATAGCACTTGCTGGGAAAGGTGTTCTTCACCCCTGAAAATAAGAGAAACCAATCGTCGCCTGTTAACATATGCTATTCACTCTATTCATTTGCATATTCACTGTAATGGTTTTTAAATTTTGACATGCAGAATTCACAACACAAGATCATGATGACGATAGATATCAGATTGTTGAATTTACCATAGAGCTTGTCTTCCTCGTCGACGTCCTCTAGTGGAGGAAAACAAGGAAACGTTCGAATCGGTTAGAAAATATGCAGGACGTGACGTTTGAGTGGAGACGCACACGACAAGTAAGCTGTGATCACAACCATGTCTGACAGTATTCAGACTGAGCGATGCAACCCTGGTCCCTGTTCACACTGAGTGGTTGGTGCATTCGAATTCCAGTCTCCAACGTACTGGCTTACACAAATCGCCTGCATTCCAATCTACTGAGAGTTCAATTGTTCCGTTAACGGCTCAGAGAGTATCCCTTCCACGAAATGACTCGGACAAGCACAGTGTGGATCAGCTCAGAAACTGACGAAATCTTTGTGGAATCGCTATGCACACTACGAAATGTGTAGCCACACTCGATAGGGGAGATTGACACAGTGTGATGGTCACGAGGATATGAAGACCGTGATAACTACACAACAAAGACCCAGAGTGACTTTCATGTGAGAAGTGGCCGTGAATCTGGAGATGCTACCCGCGCCTCTCACTCAATGAGCGGGTGACGAAATCGACAAATGTGGAGTGGTGAGGGGTGAATATCCGACATCTGTGACAACGTTGTTCCGATGCAAATGAGCACGTGGAAGGAGACGCGTTGACATTGGTGTCGAGAATATGTGAGAGGCAGTGAGAGGCACTCAGTCTCTGCCAACAATTTCGTGTGCATTATTTCGACTGGTTGAAACGTCTTTTACACAATCCATTCGTGTAGCCCCATCGAATTGAGCCTGACTGCACGAATCTGAACACACTTCGGATGGAGAATGAAATGTGACACGAAGTGGTTCTGCATAGTAGAAATGTAATTTAAGTAGTGTCAATGAGTAATTGAAAGGTCTTACGCGTTGTTGTTTCTTCTTTGACTTCTTCTGTTGCTGGAGTTGTGGTGGCTGGCACATCTATCAGAAGAGAAGTGAGGCAGACGTCTCATCAGTTGTCACACCACTGACGCGATAAACTTCAAATATGCACTCCGCAGATCATCAAGATAATCTGACTGAACGTGAATTAGAGAGACAAGGGTGTTGTCTCATGTCAAGTCGAATATATATTCACGTACTCACAAAACTCACCTTGTGTTGTTTCTTCTTCAACAATATTTTTCATCACTGAAATGAAAGAGATTAGAAATACACAGTATCAAAAATAGCTCCGGAGTCGGAATATGACTTCCACAGTGACTGCTAGATTTGTCACAGTCTCTCGCAGCAATGTGGAACACACAAAACCGTCTATGCTTCCTGCTCGTGCCTCTGCAATACACATGAACTGTCTTCCTTTCACATGGACTGGATATCCGCCTGAATCCACAGCACACATACGCTCTCATTTTAAGTTCCATGTGAGCCTGTGTGGTATCCATGATGCTCACAAACATTTCGATTCGCAATTTCCGCCTCACGTCACTAGTCTCCTCCACACACACAAGCACACACATACACACACGAGCACCTGACACTCGTCTCACACACATTGCCCAACTAATTATCACAGGTCAGATTTCACGAAAAGCACTCAGCATTTCCGCTCAATGATATCACTCATTTGTCCTCAGACTATAGGTGAAAGTGAAAAGTGGAAGAGATTTCGTTTTTCTTACCTAGTTTATAGCACTTGCTGGGAAAGGTGTTCTTCACCCCTGAAAATAAGAGAAACCAATCGTCGCCTGTTAACATATGCTATTCACTCTATTCATTTGCATATTCACTGTAATGGTTTTTAAATTTTGACATGCAGAATTCACAACACAAGATCATGATGACGATAGATATCAGATTGTTGAATTTACCATAGAGCTTGTCTTCCTCGTCGACGTCCTCTAGTGGAGGAAAACAAGGAAACGTTCGAATCGGTTAGAAAATATGCAGGACGTGACGTTTGAGTGGAGACGCACACGACAAGTAAGCTGTGATCACAACCATGTCTGACAGTATTCAGACTGAGCGATGCAACCCTGGTCCCTGTTCACACTGAGTGGTTGGTGCATTCGAATTCCAGTCTCCAACGTACTGGCTTACACAAATCGCCTGCATTCCAATCTACTGAGAGTTCAATTGTTCCGTTAACGGCTCAGAGAGTATCCCTTCCACGAAATGACTCGGACAAGCACAGTGTGGATCAGCTCAGAAACTGACGAAATCTTTGTGGAATCGCTATGCACACTACGAAATGTGTAGCCACACTCGATAGGGGAGATTGACACAGTGTGATGGTCACGAGGATATGAAGACCGTGATAACTACACAACAAAGACCCAGAGTGACTTTCATGTGAGAAGTGGCCGTGAATCTGGAGATGCTACCCGCGCCTCTCACTCAATGAGCGGGTGACGAAATCGACAAATGTGGAGTGGTGAGGAGTGAATATCCGACATCTGTGACAACGTTGTTCCGATGCAAATGAGCACGTGGAAGGAGACGCGTTGACATTGGTGTCGAGAATATGTGAGAGGCAGTGAGAGGCACTCAGTCTCTGCCAACAATTTCGTGTGCATTATTTCGACTGGCTGAAACTTCTTTTACACAATCCATTCGTGTAGCCCCATCGAATTGAGCCTGACTGCACGAATCTGAACACACTTCGGATGGAGAATGAAATGTGACACGAAGTGGTTCTGCATAGTAGAAATGTAATTTAAGCAGTGTCAATGAGTAATTGAAAGGTCTTACGCGTTGTTGTTTCTTCTTTGACTTCTTCTGTTGCTGGAGTTGTGGTGGCTGGCACATCTATCAGAAGAGAAGTGAGGCAGACGTCTCATCAGTTGTCACACCACTGACGCGATAAACTTCAAATATGCACTCCGCAGATCATCAAGATAATCTGACTGAACGTGAATTAGAGAGACAAGGGTGTTGTCTCATGTCAAGTCGAATATATATTCACGTACTCACAAAACTCACCTTGTGTTGTTTCTTCTTCAACAATATTTTTCATCACTGAAATGAAAGAGATTAGAAATACACAGTATCAAAAATAGCTCCGGAGTCGGAATATGACTTCCACAGTGACTGCTAGATTTGTCACAGTCTCTCGCAGCAATGTGGAACACACAAAACCGTCTATGCTTCCTGCTCGTGCCTCTGCAATACACATGAACTGTCTTCCTTTCACATGGACTGGATATCCGCCTGAATCCACAGCACACATACGCTCTCATTTTAAGTTCCATGTGAGCCTGTGTGGTATCCATGATGCTCACAAACATTTCGATTCGCAATTTCCGCCTCACGTCACTAGTCTCCTCCACACACACAAGCACACACATACACACACGAGCACCTGACACTCGTCTCACACACATTGCCCAACTAATTATCACAGGTCAGATTTCACGAAAAGCACTCAGCATTTCCGCTCAATGATATCACTCATTTGTCCTCAGACTATAGGTGAAAGTGAAAAGTGGAAGAGATTTCGTTTTTCTTACCTAGTTTATAGCACTTGCTGGGAAAGGTGTTCTTCACCCCTGAAAATAAGAGAAACCAATCGTCGCCTGTTAACATATGCTATTCACTCTATTCATTTGCATATTCACTGTAATGGTTTTTAAATTTTGACATGCAGAATTCACAACACAAGATCATGATGACGATAGATATCAGATTGTTGAATTTACCATAGAGCTTGTCTTCCTCGTCGACGTCCTCTAGTGGAGGAAAACAAGGAAACGTTCGAATCGGTTAGAAAATATGCAGGATGTGACGTTTGAGTGGAGACGCACACGAAAAGTAAGCTGTGATCACAACCATGTCTGACAGTATTCAGACTGAGCGATGCAACCCTGGTCCCTGTTCACACTGAGTGGTTGGTGCATTCGAATTCCAGTCTCCAACGTACTGGCCTACACAAATCGCCTGCATTCCAATCTACTGAGAGTTCAATTGTTCCGTTAACGGCTCAGAGAGTATCCCTTCCACGAAATGACTCGGACAAGCACAGTGTGGATCAGCTCAGAAACTGACGAAATCTTTGTGGAATCGCTATGCACACTACGAAATGTGTAGCCACACTTGATAGGGGAGATTGACACAGTGTGATGGTCACGAGGATATGAAGACCGTGATAACTACACAACAAAGACCCAGAGTGACTTTCATGTGAGAAGTGGCCGTGAATCTGGAGATGCTACCCGCGCCTCTCACTCAATGAGCGGGTGACGAAATCGACAAATGTGGAGTGGTGAGGAGTGAATATCCGACATCTGTGACAATGTTGTTCCGATGCAAATGAGCACGTGGAAGGAGACGCGTTGACATTGGTGTCGAGAATATGTGAGAGGCAGTGAGAGGCACTCAGTCTCTGCCAACAATTTCGTGTGCATTATTTCGACTGGTTGAAACGTCTTTTACACAATCCATTCGTGTAGCCCCATCGAATTGAGCCTGACTGCATGAATCTGAACACACTTCGGATGGAGAATGAAATGTGACACGAAGTGGTTCTGCATAGTAGAAATGTAATTTAAGCAGTGTCAATGAGTAATTGAAAGGTCTTACGCGTTGTTGTTTCTTCTTTGACTTCTTCTGCTGCTGGAGTTGTGGTGGCTGGCACATCTATCAGAAGAGAAGTGAGGCAGACGTCTCATCAGTTGTCACACCACTGACGCGATAAACTTCAAATATGCACTCCGCAGATCATCAAGATAATCTGACTGAACGTGAATTAGAGAGACAAGGGTGTTGTCTCATGTCAAGTCGAATATAGATTCACGTACTCACAAAACTCACCTTGTGTTGTTTCTTCTTCAACAATATTTTTCATCACTGAAATGAAAGAGATTAGAAATACACAGTATCAAAAATAGCTCCGGAGTCGGAATATGACTTCCACAGTGACTGCTAGATTTGTCACAGTCTCTCGCAGCAATGTGGAACACACAAAACCGTCTATGCTTCCTGCTCGTGCCTCTGCAATACACATGAACTGTCTTCCTTTCACATGGACTGGATATCCGCCTGAATCCACAGCACACATACGCTCTCATTTTAAGTTCCATGTGAGCCTGTGTGGTATCCATGATGCTCACAAACATTTCGATTCGCAATTTCCGCCTCACGTCACTAGTCTCCTCCACACACACAAGCACACACATACACACACGAGCACCTGACACTCGTCTCACACACATTGCCCAACTAATTATCACAGGTCAGATTTCACGAAAAGCACTCAGCATTTCCGCTCAATGATATCACTCATTTGTCCTCAGACTATAGGTGAAAGTGAAAAGTGGAAGAGATTTCGTTTTTCTTACCTAGTTTATAGCACTTGCTGGGAAAGGTGTTCTTCACCCCTGAAAATAAGAGAAACCAATCGTCGCCTGTTAACATATGCTATTCACTCTATTCATTTGCATATTCACTGTAATGGTTTTTAAATTTTGACATGCAGAATTCACAACACAAGATCATGATGACGATAGATATCAGATTGTTGAATTTACCATAGAGCTTGTCTTCCTCGTCGACGTCCTCTAGTGGAGGAAAACAAGGAAACGTTCGAATCGGTTAGAAAATATGCAGGACGTGACGTTTGAGTGGAGACGCACACGACAAGTAAGCTGTGATCACAACCATGTCTGACAGTATTCAGACTGAGCGATGCAACCCTGGTCCCTGTTCACACTGAGTGGTTGGTGCATTCGAATTCCAGTCTCCAACGTACTGGCCTACACAAATCGCCTGCATTCCAATCTACTGAGAGTTCAATTGTTCCGTTAACGGCTCAGAGAGTATCCCTTCCACGAAATGACTCGGACAAGCACAGTGTGGATCAGCTCAGAAACTGACGAAATCTTTGTGGAATCGCTATGCACACTACGAAATGTGTAGCCACACTTGATAGGGGAGATTGACACAGTGTGATGGTCACGAGGATATGAAGACCGTGATAACTACACAACAAAGACCCAGAGTGACTTTCATGTGAGAAGTGGCCGTGAATCTGGAGATGCTACCCGCGCCTCTCACTCAATGAGCGGGTGACGAAATCGACCAATGTGGAGTGGTGAGGAGTGAATATCCGACATCTGTGACAATGTTGTTCCGATGCAAATGAGCACGTGGAAGGAGACGCGTTGACATTGGTGTCGAGAATATGTGAGAGGCAGTGAGAGGCACTCAGTCTCTGCCAACAATTTCGTGTGCATTATTTCGACTGGTTGAAACGTCTTTTACACAATCCATTCGTGTAGCCCCATCGAATTGAGCCTGACTGCATGAATCTGAACACACTTCGGATGGAGAATGAAATGTGACACGAAGTGGTTCTGCATAGTAGAAATGTAATTTAAGCAGTGTCAATGAGTAATTGAAAGGTCTTACGCGTTGTTGTTTCTTCTTTGACTTCTTCTGCTGCTGGAGTTGTGGTGGCTGGCACATCTATCAGAAGAGAAGTGAGGCAGACGTCTCATCAGTTGTCACACCACTGACGCGATAAACTTCAAATATGCACTCCGCAGATCATCAAGATAATCTGACTGAACGTGAATTAGAGAGACAAGGGTGTTGTCTCATGTCAAGTCGAATATATATTCACGTACTCACAAAACTCACCTTGTGTTGTTTCTTCTTCAACAATATTTTTCATCACTGAAATGAAAGAGATTAGAAATACACAGTATCAAAAATAGCTCCGGAGTCGGAATATGACTTCCACAGTGACTGCTAGATTTGTCACAGTCTCTCGCAGCAATGTGGAACACACAAAACCGTCTATGCTTCCTGCTCGTGCCTCTGCAATGCACATGAACTGTCTTCCTTTCACATGGACTGGATATCCGCCTGAATCCACAGCACACATACGCTCTCATTTTAAGTTCCATGTGAGCCTGTGTGGTATCCATGATGCTCACAAACATTTCGATTCGCAATTTCCGCCTCACGTCACTAGTCTCCTCCACACACACAAGCACACACATACACACACGAGCACCTGACACTCGTCTCACACACATTGCCCAACTAATTATCACAGGTCAGATTTCACGAAAACACTCAGCATTTACACTCTCTGATATCACTCTTTTGTCTTTAGACTTTTGAAGAAGAGTGAAAGTGGGAATATTTTTATGTTACTTACCTTCTTTATAGCAGTCGCTTGAATAGATATTTTCCACTCCTGTAAATAATAGAAATGAATCGTCTCGTGTTCGTTTATTTATTCACTTTTTAAATTATGAAACTCAAACAGTCAGATTTTGCAGCACAAGATCATGATGACGATAGATATCAGATTGTTGAACTTACCATAGAGCTTCTCTTCGTCGTCAACGTTCACTAATGGACGGAAACACTGATAAATTATGCGTTATATAAATGAATTTTAACTTCGGCGTGATTGTCATTTTGTTAAGTGATAACTAAATTTCAAGTTTGTTTATCTACTTAGAGAAAACTGGTTTTAATATATGAAATGCGTTTTAAAAATTTACAATCACACCAATATTTTTGTTTTGGCAGTTACATCAATTTGTACTTACCTGCATCGCCTGGCTTGCTGAATATTGTGAACGCTTGAATAATGAACAACAGAACGCATAACATATTCTTCGTCATCTTCCGTACAGTATTTGTTTAATAAATAAAAACAAGTATTTATATACTCCGTTCGCCAATAGATTTCAGTTAGTTTGCACTTGCCACGTATAAGACCTTCAAGTTTTCTAAAAATATTCTTAATTATCACTCCATTTCTTTTTGATGGAATGTGGCGTGATTATAATTTTCATTATATGCATAAATAATTTTGTACTGTTATTCATTTACAAGGTCACCGGAATCAAATTAAACCATCTTAATAATTAAGATGATTATGATCAATGTATATTAGGAACTGTATATAGTTTGCGAGCTATATATGCCATATTTCTAGTGATTCGCGCATATCCATCCTTTCATGAAAACGATGAACCATCTGCTTTGCTCACAAACTTGGAGAAAGTAGTACATGCGAGAAAATCGAACATAATAAAGTGTCATTTCTTTAGGAAATATTAACCATTTTTCAAACAAAAGTTAATTTCAGAAATGTTTTGCGAATTCAGAGACTTTGAACTAGACGTTCGTCATAAAGTAATCTTGAAGATAGAAAATACAAACAATACCTACTAATCGAAGCAATGATTAACACGAATAAAACATTGGAATTCCGAGTAGATGAACCGCGAATGCAGTGGTCATATAGTTTCTAGGCATGAGAAAGCTTAACATTTCTCTCAAAAAGAGTAACACACATACATGCCGAAAAGGTTTAGACCATGATTAGCGCTTTGGATTCCTGACTAATTATCGAGATATGATACTGAGTGAATAACAGCATATATCAATATGTTGGCAAAACAGATTTTCAGCCAACAAAACAAAGTTGATTATTGCCCTACAGGTGAAAAAAATATTTGAAATTCAAAATTACTGGACGCTGTGATTAACTTAAGTAAGACATGTTTCAAAGTTTCCTCATGGTTCCACAAGTTTCCAAACACCATTCCACACATGTTTACTGAATGAAATCAAGAGAGGGAAAGTCGTGGTGGATGGACGTCCAGGATAACATAAGAAGAAGTGATTCGTTTTGAGTCGATTCACCAAGATGTACAACTGATATTTACGTATAATAATAATATATTCTCATTTTGTAAATGAGGGACGCCAGTTTACAGGCATCATCAATATGATAAATTACATATACGATTAGCAATCATACTCAATAATAATGTTTTAATTAAACACATATTTTTTCCTACCTGTGTAGGAAACACCAAATGTACAGGCATGAATAAGCATTATTTAAATTTCATAAATTTGGTTCATGGTTAAATTACATGGTTGCTGACGATTTTGTCTTTAGTTTGTGGGAACAATATGATAACCAGTCATTCAATGGAGCAAATCATGAAAGATAGAAATATTGTTTTCGCATTAACAAAAAAATCCAAGTATGTTTTGGATGGATTCCCCAATATAACTTAGGTGTGTACAAAACCGAATCTTATTCTTGATTTATATCCAAATTTGGTAATCATTAAAATAAGTGATACACTTGCATAGTGTTGTCAGCATTTTCATCGTAACATCACGAGTGAATTGTACTCAATGTAGTATAATATTAATGATAGTATATATTTGCTTATACATGGGTGTTTCTAAGAAAACAAAGCTATATTACAAATACGATCAGTTGTGTTACAAGTTACAATCGTGACGTTGTATCACAAATCAATACTTTTCCATTGGTATAAGAGTATATTCCACAAATGTAATCCAGGTTGCGTCGTGGGGAAAGTTAATTCGTTGTGAACTAGGCAACTGGAAGATACGGGACCAATAATGTTTGCAGATCATTTGTCATTGTGGATGGTCAAATATCCACATTATTCATTCTCTTTCAAAACGCCAAATAGAAGCTAAAATGGTGAGAGAAAAAAGAAGACAAACAATAGCAAAGCAAAAGAAAGCAAGAGGAGTCCTTAAGGAGTGATTAGTAAATATGTACATATATATTCTGTTTAGTAACTATGGTTATTTTTGTGCACTAACTAACTAGTCCCGTTGTGCTAACTTTTATATTATGTGTAAACTAATATTACTGTCCTGTGTAGAAATGTTTATCATCTGGTTACAACAATATTAGAATTTATAATTGTAGTTTGTTGTAACTACACGTTTAATGAACATAAAATATCTATGTAGGGTGAAAAAGAGGGTGAAAGAGTCAAACGTAGAAGTGCATTGCCATCGTTGATCAGACTGGCGACCGAGGAGATGAACACTGGGAGTGTGTTTGCATCACGCACATTAGCTGGTGGTCTATTCCACATGACTGAAAACTTATTAAAGAAGGAGTTGTGCCGCACGTAAGTCTGACAGTGCTGTATAGCAGCTAGGTTGTGATGATTTCTAAGATTGTAACTGGTGACAGCGGTAGGTTTAGTTATTTGCTCGGAGGAATGCAAGAGAAGATTAGTAAGCTTGTAGTAAAAGATGAGGTTTAGCTTAAGACGTCTTTTCCAGAGTGGTTCTAGTCTCAGTCTGTCGTATATAGAAATAAGTGTTGAGAAGAGTCAATAATCAAATGACTTGGTATGGTTATGAAGCCGATCAAAAAATTAGGGAAGAAGAAGCTTCGTTGACTAAATGACACAGAATTCGTGAAATGTCGAGGTCAGTGTGCTTGACAATGAGCCAGCTGGTCCTCCGACTATTCGACTAAATCAATTGAAAACTGCTGTCTTATCTCCGTCTGGTAATCCGTACGTATAACAGAGAGGAAAACTTTGGATTAGTAAGCTCTGTGAGATTTAGGTCTGTATCATTCTTCTCTGCACCGCGTGCATAAACTCTTTTCTGCCGTTTCTACAGTAAAGTGGATTTCCTGAACACTTTCCTAATAACCTGAATCACATTGATCCACATTAGCTTGCTAGTGCAATCACTCGACATGTGATGCGATTCAGTGAAAGACTGACAGTTTTTTGTGTATTAGACTCATGGAATCCTCAATGTTAGATGACTTGATTTAAAGTATTGTAGACATCATGGCTACCGTCAGCCCAGTCATCATTAGGACAGATGATTATGGATTTTGATGAAATTCACGGTACCTGCAGTCGTTAGGATGTCCACAAACCCTTGTTATTCCCTTTTGATGAGACATTCAGATTTGTCTGATTGTCGTCCTCACAGTCTGTTTGATTGTTTCCACCTGCAAAATATTATCTTTATCGAGTACCACAGTTTCTAATATTTGATCCGTAATTTTATTTGAAGTTATTATGCATTTGTCAATACCTCGTTTTCAAATCTGTAGACAGTCAAACGAATCTGACTTGGCATTTTAAATCTAGGGTAATAGAGTGTCAAGATAATTGTTGTATCACCTGACTATCTTGACAGACTAGATTCCATACTCCCCACTGTCCTAAATCTCATTCCACCAGGTGAAAGAGCTCGCTTGTTGTATTCACTTAATAAATCAAGAGTTAGTCAGTTTCCATCTCACGTGTGAATGTACGATGTACAGTTGAAGCCCATGTATCAGTCGATTTCACAATCAGTGGATTACTGTGCACCCAGAGGAATTATATCAGGCACAGAGAGATGTGTGGAATTGCTTTTCAGAGAGAAGTGTAATTATCCTTCGTGCTATTCCACCTGTGATTGTATTACAAACACCAATCGATAATTATAATTTTGACAAATTAATAAAATCTCAAATAAGCACTGAATTATTATAATAAACAGGCACAGAGAGATATGTGGAAGCCAAATCATTCTTCGTGTTGTTCTGTCTGCAACTGTAGTACAAACACAAATCCGTAATTATTTTTTTGGCAGATACCTTCACCTCATACATAAACTGAAGCAAATGTAATAACGGAAGCATGTACTTTATATCCTTAGAACAATATGCAACAATATGAGTTTCATCTCTTTCTGTCTAAATAAATTCTGAATGTGTTTTTAGAGAAAGAAATTGAGTCATATGATGTTTACGATTTAAGCAAAGAAATATAATGGCAGATACATAATTTCATTGTGGATTGTTCCACCAGAAATAATGTTGTTTCCACTCATTTACACTTGGTATGTGTGTGTGTTGTACTACTGAGAAATTGGATGTAAGTAGTGAAGAGAGCCGTAGTCACAGCACCAGTATGCGCATCTACCTGAGGTACAATATGATGGCGTAGTATGAATGCACTGTATCCACAATGTGTTAACACCACTTTAATCGTATTATGACAATTTATGTATATGGCAATAATTACAGAAATAAACTGGATGATTAGACATAAAATGTAGTGGGATTACAAATATTGAGGGAATTGAATTTTGATGGCAAGGGTAGAGTTTAAAGTTGGACATATTTCTTTTCGATGTAGAAAGTGGGCTTGAAATTATGGATCGCTGCTATCCTAGCTATAGCCTGCTGCCTCGGTCTCACTCTCTTTGTGGTGTTTTGTTCGGATAGTTTTTTCGAATATGGAGGACGTTTGTAATACATCTGGATGTCCAGGGTTCACCAGACGTTCTGTTATCAAACTGTGTAAACACCTGTGCTCTCTCTTCCCCAGTCAGGCTGGACAGGGTTCCCCAGCGCGTTTCACAAGTGATCACGTTTTGTGGTCATTATACTCAGCTGCAAACTCTAAGTGAACCGGTAAATGCATGTTATACTTGCTTGTTCCACTCCACATCCCTCTTTCTGACTCCCCTTCCATCTCTAGAACTGCGATCATTCCAACCCATTTTCCTCCGTGATCTAAATCACCACCATCTTCTTTCCTCACCATGAAACCCATTGGAAAATATCTTTGATTAATTTAACTAGAGAGAGTGGTGCGCGTACTCTAATAGCCATTAGTTCAGATACCTTACCAGTGAGTGTTGGCAATATATGATTCATTTCTCCTTATGTTACAGGAAATCAGATATATAATATGTTTTTGACCTTATGCATCACTGAGTCGTTTGCTTCACACAGAGTTGCATTTTTAGTCGTCGACTACGTCTCTCATGTGAAACCAAACACTTGCATTCAGAAGTGCTTGGTAGAACAGGTGATATTA